CATTATAGGTAGGGGTAGGCTAATGTTCCCACTTAGTATTGAATAAGTTAAGAACTATTTAATTTCATCTGTAGTCATACGTTAAACAATTAAAAAGTGTTTGAATCTTTCTTTACAAGTTAAAATTGTTCTCTTAGGAATAATTATCTCTTTAGTTATAATACAAACATTGAGCGTTCTGCAGAAGCAAGTTAGAATTTTTCATAAATGATGGTAAACGTAGTTGAGGATTGATGCTTGGGTTTTGTATTATACGTCAATTAAATTTCAGCACTACTTTTTTGGGGGGTTTCCTTTTTTTAATTTTAAGTTCAATTAATTAACAATATAGTGTATTATTAGTTTTAGAGGTAGCGTTCAGTGATTCATCAGTTGCATACAACATCCAGTGCTCATTCCATCACGTGCCCTCCTTCATGCCCACCACTCAGGCACCCCCCCTACTTCCCCTCCAGCAAGCCTGTTTCTTTCCTATGCTTAAGAAGTCTCTTATGGTTTGTCTCCCTCTCTGGTTTCATCTTGTTTTATTCCTCCCAGGTTTTTGTTGTTTTTTTTTTTTAGCTAGCCAGAATCATGCTGTATGTATTGTTCATGTCAGCACTACTTTTAATTAATGTTAATAGATCCATCAGTTCCAGAAATAATCTGTGATATCAGATTTAACTAAACTAAATTCCAAAGTAGGTCAGTGGGTCAATAGGTTATTACGTTAGAGAAAGATTTATTGTAGTTTCCATTTTTTAAACCCAGGTTCCTGAGTTAATCATTTTAAATTAATAATTTAAAGATTATTGATGATTAGATGAAATTAAGAGGTTTTTTCTTTAAATTATGTCAACAATACATAGGAAAATAGCCTCTGTTACTCTTATTTTGTAGCAGTAACATGTTATTTTGTTACTCATATTTTGTTTTCTGGAATGGATAAACATGTAACTTTATGTTCCTTATGTATAGCTAGGGCTCCAATGTTGGACAATTGAAAGAAAAAGGGAACATTTAAGTTTTTCTGATTATAATAGTGCATGTTCATGCGAGAAGTTTTAGAACATACTAAAAAAAATTAAAAATTCATAAGCTACTTAGGAATAACTACAGTTTTACTTTTGGCTTATTTTGATTTATATTTGCTATATCTTGATGCCAGTGTTATTCCTATTAGGTGCTTAAATTCTTTCTAACTTTACTAGATTGTGCACAATAGTACAGTGAACATAAAACTTTGGCTACACCTCTGATTGTTTCCTTTTTTCTCAAAGTAAAATTATTGGGTCAAAGGGTATAAATATTTTCAAGCTATTGATACATCTCACTAAACTTTTTCTCACCAAACTTTAAGAAAGGGTTTTCCAATTTACTATCTTAAAGCAGTGCTCAGTGTCTGTTTCATAGCTCCTTCACCAAAGGTATCAAATTCTTTGTTATTAAATACAGTGGACATTTTACAGTCATTATCTTGTCTGCACTGCAATATTCACATTGTCAACTTCTCAAAACACTCTTTTCCTTTAATTTTAGTGACAGCTAATCCTTCTTGGCTTTCTTCTGTCTCTTTGATCCTTTGCCATCTAGTTGATACTATTAACACTAATCATATTTAAAATTCATTTGCTGTTTTCTTTGTACTATCCCAAACATGTAACATATTTAATCCTCAGAACAACTGCATATACCTACTATTATATCCATTTTAAAAATGAAAAAATGATGCATAGAGATGAAGTGACTGGTCTGAGACCCACAGCTAATAAAGGGACTGAGCTATAATGCATACCCAGGAAGTCTGTTTTCAGAGCCCATTTCTTTTTTTATTTGTTTAATTCTTGTTTAAATTACTTAAAAATTTTTGTTTTATTGAAGTATGGTTGACACACAGTGTTACATTAGTTTCAGGTGTACAACATTGTGATTGGACGACTCTGTACATTATGCTGTGCTCACCAAAAGAGTAACTACCATTTGTCACCATACAACACTATTACAATACCATTGACTATATTCTCTGTGCTGTGCCTTTTATTCCCATGACTTATATTCATTCTGTAACTGGAAGCCTGTATCTCCCACTCCCCTTCCCCCATTTTGCCCATCCCTTGACCCCCCTCCCTCCACCTCTGGCAACCACCAGTTCTTTGTATTTATGGGTCTGTTTCTGTTCTTTTTATTTGTCCATTTGTTTTTTAAGATTCCATATATAAGTGAAATCATAAGGTATTTGACTTACTTAGTTTAATGCCTTCTCGGTCCATCCATGTTGTCACAAATAGCAAGATCTTTCTTATGGCTGAGTAATATTCCATGTCCCAGTACCATCTATTGAAGACACTGTCTATATTCTCTCCTCCTTTGTTGTAGATTAATTGACCATATATGCGTGGGTTTATTTCTGTGTTCTCCATTCTGTTCCATTGATCTTTTTGTCTATCTTGGTGTTGGTACCATATTGTTTGGATAACTATAGCTTTGTAATATATCTTGAAATCTATGATTATGATACCTCCAGCTTTGTTCTTTTCTCAAGATTGCTGTGGCTCTTTGGGGTCTTTTGTAGTTCCATACAACTGTTGGCATTATTTGTTCTAGTTTTGTGAAAAATACCGCTGATATTTTGGTGGGTATTAAACTGAATCTGTAGATTGCTATGGGTAGTACTCACATTTTAACAATATTAATTCTTCCAACCCATGATCATGGAATATCATTCCATTTGTATCATCTTCAATTTTTTTCATTAATGTTTTATAGTTTTCAGAGTATAGGCAGAGCTCATTTCTTTAAGTTCCTTGCTCTGCCTCCTTCCCATTTTATTAGTTGTTTTCTGGTTTCTAAAATACTAATTTTTCATCAAGTTTCAATCTTAGCCTTTTTTTCCTAGAAAATCCCATCACTGTCTTTAATTTATATATTTATGTTGATGACTCCCACTTTACATCTTCATCCAGTTCTTTCTTGAATGCCAAGCTCACTTTAACCATCCACTGGGTGTTTTTCCTCTTGAATATCCCTTAGATATCTTAAACACAACATGTCTAAAACTGAATCCATCATCTAAAGTATATGTGAGGTGTCTGTAACATGTGATTAAGAGGATAGTTCAAGCTAAACTATCAGCATTCTGATCTCAGCTTTACTGATGACCTTCCTTAGCTTACCTAAGGAAGCTGTTTGTTTTTCAGTTTCCTCATCAGTAAAATGGAGATAATAGTAGAACTTTCCTCATCTGATTGTTGAGAGTCTTAAATGAGAGAAGACTTTGAGGAATGCTGGGCGCAAACTAAGTGTTCAATAAATAGTAGCCACTGCTCTTGGTGTCATTATTAGCTCTCGTTTTCCTCCAGCTTATTCTTCCTATTTTTCCTATCCAACCCACAGAGATGCCCAAGCCAAAATTTGGGTGATACTCTCAACTGCTTCCTGAACCGTACTTCTGATAACTAATCACCAAGTTCTGTCTAGTCATCTTAGCATTTATTAAAATTCTATTTTTTTTTTAAGATTTTATTTAGAGAGAGCGTGAGCGAGCATGTGCAAGTGGGGGCTGGGGCAGAGGGAGAGAGACAAGTAGACTCCTCACTGAGTGAGGAGCCCGACCTGAGGCTCGATCCCAGGACCTAAGTTGAAGTCAGACACTTAACCGACTGAGCCATCCAGTGCCCTTATTTATTAAAATTCTTATATTTCTTTATATAACCTCTGCCTCTGTATTATTTTGCCTGCATTATTATAGTAACCTTCTTCTCTTAGTCTCCCTAACTCTAGTCTTGCCTTCTTCATTCCATTCTTTATATTGTAGCCAGAATGATATTTCAAAAGAACAAATCTATTAATGTTACTTCCCTGCTTAAAGCTACTTCAGTGTTTTCATGTTGCTATTGAGGGGCAGGTGATTTTTTTCTAACCTTCATGTGGCCTTTCATGATATACACACCTCATCGTTCTTATCTCTTACCCCCAGTTTTTACCCCACCCTGTCCTTGGTTTTTGCTCTAATCATGCTGAACTACTTATAGTAGCCTAAAATTATAGTTCTTGCTTATGTGTCCAGACCTTTGCATTTACTGTTCTTTTGGCATCACAGTTCTCTCTCTCTTGGCCTGGTGAATTTTATTCATCCTAAAGATCTCAACTTAGGGACTACTTCTTCCAGGAGGCTTCCTCAACCTCTGTGTCCCTCGTATGTATTCACAGAGCATTTTGTGCATGCCTTTGGGAAGTGCCTCAAATGCAGTTGATATGACTGTTTTGCCATTTTAAAACTACCATTAGCATAGTGTTGGACACTTGTATTGGTGCTCAGTAAATATTTGCTGAATGATAACTATATGAAGTATAATTTTTAAGGAATCACTAATATTTATAACAAAGCTTCTTTGATATCTAGCCAGGAATAATTTTATATTTATTAGCCATTTGTTTTCTTTGTGCCTCATTTGGTTATACTTTTTGCTTGGGGGGGTTGGATTTTATTTTATTTTTATTTTTTTTCAAATAAGTCTCAATTTTAATAAGATCCTCTACACACACATTTGCTACTGAAAATTGAAATAGCACATCAAAAAATTTTTATTACAATTCAATTTTTGAAAACCAGAAAATCTAGCCTGTGCACTCTGCCCTAATTATGCTCTAACCAAACCACCCAAAGTTTTCTGTGTATTCCTTCTGCACAAGTTACTTAGCTTCCAGTTTTTGATGCTAGATTTTACCTTAATGACTTCAGACTTCTCAAACACACAGGCCACATTCAAAACCTATTAGTGCTTCCTTAGGTCAAATCAAAACGTGGAAGTATATTGAGGTCATTCAGATGCAAACTACAGGATTCCTCACAAATTACTGGTATCAAGGTAGAAAAGATACAAAAAAAGACAGAGCTTATATCATAGATTAGTAAAATGTTATGCAGTTTGTCCTAACATAGAGCAGCTTTCGTAAGCTCTGCTGCATAATGATCCTAAAATTACTAGCAAGAAGAAACAGTACAAGAATAAAGTTTATGTTTACATAGGCTCTGTGTCATAATTATTCTCCATGCTGGTGTCCTCAGAAAGATCTTTATGATACAGGCAGTGATGACGGCTACGTCTACATCTTTCCACTCTTGATTCACCCTCCTCAGCTTCCTTCTGCTGTAGATCTTTTTGAAGCTGGGGCCCCGGGCTGAGGTATCGCTGGTACTGAATCAGTCGCATCATCCTTGCCATCCTTTCTTTCCGAGCAGTTACCAAAGTCCTTACTCCAGTCCTCCTCCTACTGCTGAGGTTGCGCTCAACCAGCCCCTGTGGTTTCTTCTCTCTGCCCTGCTGTTGGGATGGGTATTCTGGTAGAGGGGAAGGGAGTTTGATACTGGGGTCGAGAGTCAATTTACTGAGGTTCTTTATTAATACTTCGGAGATAGTTTGAGAGGCAGCTGAACCTTCCTGGGAATTCTCTTCACTGGGCATCTGAGGTGATCCCGGGGCCCAGGCTGGGTAAAGCTGCTTTGGCGAATCCATTGGAAGCCTAAGGCAGGGGGGTTCGGGGGTGGGGGGGGGTTGGATTTTAACATTTTTCTGAATAACTTCTAAATATCCTTATGTGGTAAAGATATTAACCCTTTGTCATGCTGCAAATGTTTAAAACGTTTGTTTTTTTCCAAGGGGCGGTTGCCATTTGTATTTATTTTGTTAATAAAAATAGGTATCCCTATTCATTATATCTTTTATTCTTCACAAGAACCCTCTTAGCTACGAATTCTGAGGCTTAGGGTGGTTTAGTTATTTTCCAGAGATTTCCATCCATACCTTTCTAAATTCCATAGATCTTAAGTTTTATACTGACTCCTCCAGCATGCTGTTTATTAGCTGCTTTAATTCTGACTGGGTAGCACTATCCCAAAGTACTTAAAACTAACTAGGACACAGGGATCTGGCTTCTGAATTTTGTTTCATGCACATTTTAGGAACTCAGTCCTGTTGCTCTGGTGTTTTTGACTCAGACCATTTTATTTTTGATTCCTTCAATTTCCCAGAGTATTGTTTTGTTATCAAAAATCGCCTTTTCTAAAAAATATATCATCTTTTGCTATGAAAAAATATCCTTTTTTGTTGCTGTTATTTTGCATATACAATTATATTCTTCATTCAAAAAAATTTAGAATGGGTTACCTGGGTGGCTAAGTTGGTTGGGTGACTGCCTTTGGTTCACATCATGATCCTGGAGTCCTGGATTGAGTTCCACATTGGGCTCCCTGCTCAGTGGGAAGTTGGCTTCTCCCTCTGACCCTCCCCGCTCTCATGCTCTCTCTCTCTCTCTCATTCCCTCTCTGTCAAATAAATAGATAAAATCTTTTTAAAAAATAAAAAAAATTAGAATGGGCATTGGGTGGGTCAGAAGCAAACTTGACTGTAAAGTTTTGCACTAATTTTGTGGCAAGGTTGAATTGGTCTCATTTAATTCAGTTATTCACCAGTGCCAGTTGAGTATTAGAATTTGTCGAATACTCTGACAGGTCCTAGTAATAGTTGAATAAGTAAATTATTACTCCTGTTTTGAAGAAACTCATGATTTAGGAGAATGTTGTCAGTGAGAATGTTACAGTGATATTCCACTTCTACAATGAAAAATAGTAAGAACACAGTAATTCCTAATTTTCCTTGTCAGTGAAAGAACATTGATAACTGAAATTGACAGGTTCCTGAAATTTACAGCACCAAAAAATTTGAGTAAAATTCACCCTAATTTTCCTTCTTGAAGGTGAAAGTGAAAACTAAAGTATGCACGTGTGCGTGCAAACACACACACACACACACACACACAAAGTAGAGAGACAGTGGGAGAAACCAAATATGAACCAGCCATATGTGAATAGTTGACTCTTTAATAAATATTATGTAAAGATGATTATCAGTCACTATTGGGTCATGACCATTTTTATGTTAGCTGAGGCAGAGACTTCCGTGAAAATAACTCATATATGTTCATTGGCATTCTTAAAGCAAGCGTTTGAACTATTGAGAACTAATTCACAGGAAAACAAATAGTAAATACTGTAGCAGCCTCTGTACAGTTGGTGTTATAATGCTTTAGATCATGTCATTAATTTGTACCATGGTCTATTACAGGAAAAGGCCTAAGAAATTCCTTGTTGTTAACTGGTTACTTCAATTTATTAAGTACCTATAATCTCTAACATAGAGCTTGAACTTCTCTTGCTCCTTAAATATTTACTGACTTAAAATGAGTAATTGACAGCCTTAATCTAATCTATTGTACCTTTATTTTTCTATAATTTTTTACTGTAATAAAAATTGAAAAAAATTGAGTCTGTCATAAATTTTTTTTTACTTTAAAGTTCCTAGGTAAAAATACACTTGGTGATTTAAACATTAAAATTATTTTATTAAAGTGACACTAACTTTTAGAGTTAAAAAAAATTATTATGGAAAAAAGAAAACAAGTAACAAAATCACCACTTTGTCCTAACAAGTAAAAAGGTGAATGGTCAGAAAAATCAATTCTTGGATGCATAAAAAAGGGGGGGGCACAGGGAAAATTTGATCACTGGGCAATCCCCCAAAGATTAGAGAGTCAGGTAAATACAGGAAGTCACAGCTTCCTAGAACAGAGACTTAGGAGCTGAAACCACCTGAGAAACCAGTGCAGAACCAGAACTGTAATTGACAAGATGCTGGAGGCTCACTGTATATAACTTTGACAATTAAAAACTCCAAAGGGACCCAATCATAGAGGCCTCAACAGTATTGTGAGATTTACCTCTAAGAGCTCAACCAGGTTCCCACAGTGAATATCAGAAATATCCCCCCTTTTTCCAGCAGGAGTAAGGGAAAAAGAACCATTTTGAAATACACCAGAGTACTGTCTTCGTAACAAGACCCACTCTCAGGGGAAACTAGTTAACAGGAGTCTAACTCATCTGGAAAAAGGGAAATACCAAATGCCTACCTACTCTAACCATGTTAGTTTAAGGAGGGAGAAAAAAACCTGAGAAACATTGATGAAGTTCACAGTCCAGATGCACAGGCTCACTGAAAGATTGAGACCTAATCATGGGACTATAGAATGCTTCCCCCCCCCACCCCACCACCACATTACTAATGGCCTGTTTATAGCAGTTCCTTTTACCTAGTGCATCATGTCCAGCAATCAAGAAAAAATTACAAGGCATACCAAAAGACAAAAAACACAGTTTGAGGGGACAGAGCAAATATCAGAACCAGACATGGCACAAGGATGTTGGAGCTATCAGATCAGGAACTTAAAGTAACTATAATTAATGTGCTCAGGGATCTAATGGATAAAATAGACAGTGTGCAAAAACAGGTGGGCAGGGTAAGTGGAGAGATGGAAACCCTAAGAAGGTAGATAAGGAGTTAAACACTGTACCAGAAATTAAGAATACCTTTGATGGGCTTATTAGTAGATCGGACACATGAGTAAAGAACCTCTGAGCTAGAGGATATCTTCGTAGAATCCTTGAAAATGAAAAGCAAAGAGGACAAAGGCGAAAAGAACAGAATATCCAGGGACTGTGGGACAACTACAAAAGTTGTAACATGTATGTAATGGGAATACCAGGAGAAAGGGAAACTTCTGAAATAATGACTGAGAATTTCCCCAAGTTAATGTCAGACCCCAAATCACAGATCCAGGTCAGAGACCACCAAGAAGGATAAGTACCCCCCCAAAACAACACCTAGGCGTATCATTTTCAAACTATAGAAAATCAGATAGGAAGAAAAAAATCCTGAAAGATGCTAGAGGAAGAAAACACCTTACCCATAGAAGAACAAAGAATTACATTTGACTTCCCCTCAGAAACCGTGCACGTAAAAAGAAAGTATTGAGAGAAAAACTCACCAACCTAGAATTCTTTTTCCTGGGAAATTATTCTTGAAAAATGAAGAAGAAATAAAGACTTTCTCAAACAAATTGAGGGAATTTGTTGGTAGTAGACCTGCCTTGCAGGAAATATTAAAAGACGTTCTTTAGAGAGAAAGAAAATGGAATAGGTTGGAAACTTGGAAGTTTGTAAAGTAAGAAAGAGCATTGAAAGGTAAAAGAATAACAAACTTCTGTTTTTATTCTTAATTGACCTCACATAACAGTTTGTTCATAGTAGTAGCAATAATGAATTTGTATATACTTGTTTGTGTGTGTGTGTATATATATACATATATATATATACTGAAATACCTATGTCTAGGTTTATTTCAGTGTCATATATATATATATATATACACACACACATACGTAGATGCTTATGTATAAATGAAATGAATGACAATACAAGGGATAGGAGAGAGGAATTAGAATTATTTGGTTATTATAAGGTATACTACTTGTCAAGTGGTATAGTTTATTTGAAAGTGAACTTGGATTAGTTGTAAATGTATATTATAGGGGCGCCTCGTCGTGAGTTTGAGCCCCATGTTGAGGGTAGAGGTTACTTAAAAAATATATCTATATATAAAAGAAAAAAAACTTCAAAAATGATATTGTAAACTCTAGGGTAACCACCTAAAAAAGTGAAAACCACTAAACCACTAAAAAAAGGTGAAACAGAAACATAACCAATATGCTAAGAAAGGAGAGAATAGGAATCCCGTAAACTGCTCAGAAAATCCTATAAGATGCTGAAAACGACAAAAGACAGAGTGGAAGACAAAAATGGGAAGAACAAGGGCAACAAATAGAAGCAGTAATCAATATGGTAGCTATTAGTCCAACTATATCAATAATCACTTTGAATATCAGCCTAAATGTACCAATCCAATGACAGAGATTGTCAGAGTGGATTAAGAAACAAGATCCAACTATATGTTGTCTACAAGAAACCCACTGTAAATATAAAGACATATATAGATTAAATGGATGGAGAGAAAAGACCATATACGAAATCTGCTCTCTTAAAATTTTAAGTGTGTACAGTACTGTTAACTCTTTGTACATTGTTGTATAGCAGATCTCTGAAACTTTTTCATCTTGTGTGACTATGAAGCTCTCTATCCAATGAACAGCAATTCCTGATTTCCCCCTCCCCCAAGCCCCTGACAACCACCATTCTACTTTCTGCTTCTATCAGTTTGACTACTTTAGACACCTCATGTTAAGTAGAATCATGCATTATTTGTTTTAATGTGACTGGCTTATTTCACTTAGCATAAAGTCCTCAGGATTCATCCATGTTGTTAAGTATGAAAGGATTTCCTTCTTTTTGAGAACTAAATAATATTCCATTGTATGTATATACCATTCCTTTATCCATTTATTTGTCCATGGACTGTTTAGGTTGTTTCCACCTCTTGGCTATTGTGAATATGCTGCAGTGAACATACAGGAGTACAGTGATCTCTTCGAGATCCTGTTCTCAGTCCTTTTGCATAAATACCCAGAAGTGGAATTCCTGGATTATATGATAGTTGTATTTTTAGTTTTTTGAGAAATTAATATGCTGTTTTCCATAGTGGTGGCACCATTTTACATTCCTACCCACCATGAGCAAAGTACCAATTTTTCTGCATCCTTGCCAAACTTATTTGTTTCTGTTTTCTATATTTTTGTTGTTGTTTTTATAATAGCCATTTTAACAGGGCTGCTATGATATCTCATTGTGGTTTTGATTTGCATTTCTCTTATGATTAAGGATTTTGAGCATCTTTTCATATATCTGTTGGCCATTTCTATGTCTTAGGAGAAAGGTTTAAGTCATTTGCCTTTTTTAAAAATTGGGTTATTGGGGCGCCTGGGTGGCTCAGTTGGTTAAGCAACTGCCTTCTGCTCAGGTCATGATCCTGGAGTCCCTGGATCAAGTCCCGCATCGGGCTTCCTGCTCGGCAGGGAGTCTGCTTCTCCCTCTGACCCTCCCCCCCTCATGTGCTCTCTCTCTCTCTCATTCTCTCTGTCTCAAATAAATAAATAAAATCTTTAAAAAAATAAATAAAAATAAATAAAAATTGGGTTATTTATGGGTTTTGTTGTTGTTTTGCTAAGTTGTAGGAGTTTCTTATGTATTTTGGATATTAATCCCTTATCAGATATATATATGGTTATCAGATATTTTCTCCCATTCCATAGATTACCTTTTCACTCTTGTTTCTTCTGCTGCGTATAAGTTGTTTAACTTGAAGGAGTCCCAGTTGTCAGTGTTTGCTTTTGTTTCCTTTGTTTTTGGTGTCATATCCAAGATATGATTTCCAAATCCTGTGTCCTGAAACTTTCCCTTTTGTTTTCCTCTAGGAGTTTTATAGTTTCAGGTCTTACATTTAAGTCTTTAATCCATATTGATTTGGTTTTTGTGTATGGTGTAAGGTAGGGTCCAACCAGTTTCAGTCTTTTTTTGCATGTGGATATACTGTTTTCCCAGCACTGTTTGTTAAAGACACTGTGCTTTCTGGTTATGTAGTCTTGGCACACTTGTTGAAGATCATTTGACCATATATGCCTAGGTTTATTTCTGGGCTCTCTGTTCTTTACCATTGGTCAGTGCGTTCGTCTTTATGCCACTTCCATAATATTTTATTACTGTAGCTTTGTAATACGTTTACAGGTTAGGAAGTGTGAGGCCTTCAGCTTTGTTCTTTTTTCTCAATATTGTTTTTGACTAGTTGAGATCCTTTGTTGTTCCATATGAATTTTAGGATTTTTTTTCTCAGTTTCTGCAAAGAATGCCATTGGGATTTTGATAGAGATTACATTGAATCTGTAGATGACATTGGGTAATATGGACAATTTTAATGATACTAAATCTTCTATAAACATCCTCTGTATGTCCACTGTAAACTTCCCTCCATTTATTTGTGTCTTATTTCTTATTTCAGAAACTATTTTATAGTTTTCAGTGTACAAGTCTTTTGCCTTTTTTGTTAGGTTTGTTACTATTTTATTCTTTTTGATGCTATTGTAAATGACATTTTTTTAATTTCCTTTTCAGATTGTTTATTGTTAGTGTATATAGAAGTGCAGCTGATTTTTGTGTGTTGATTTTGTGTCCTGCAACTTTGACATTTGTTAGTTCTAATGGGTTTTTTGTGGAATCTTTAGGGTTTTCTGCATATAAGATCATGTCATCTGTGAACAGGGATAATTTTACTTCTTACTTTCTGATTTGTGTAAGCCTTTTTTTCTTACCTACTCTAGCTCAAATTTCCAGTACAGTGTTGAATACAAGTGGTAAGAGTGGGCATCCTTGCGTTGATCCTCATCTTAGAGGGAAAACTTTCAGTTTTTCACTGTTGATCATGATGTTAGCTCTGGGCTTTTCATATGTGGCCTTTGTTATCTTGAGAAACTTTATTTGTTCCTAGTTTATGGTGTGTTTTTTATCATGAAAGGGTGTTGAATTATGTCAAATGCTGGTTCTGCATTGACAAATTCATGTGATTTTTATGTTTTGTTTTGTTGATTTGCTGTATCATATTGATTGATTATTGTATGTTGAAACATGCTTGTACCCCAGGGATAAATCCCACTTGGTTGTGGTGTATTACCCTTTTTATATGCTCTTGGGTTTGGTTTGTTAGTTTGTTAGTATATTGTTGAGGATTTTTGCATCTATATTCATTAGGGATATTGACCTCTGGTTTTCTTTACTTGCAGAGTCTGTCTGGCTTTGGTATCAAGGTGATGTTGGCTTCATAAAATGAGTTTGGATGTATTCCCTCTTCAATTTTTTCTAAGAGTTTGGGAGAGATTGATGTTAATTAATTCTTCTTTACATGTTTGGTAGAATTTTCCATTGAATCTGTTTAGTCCTGGGCTTTTCTTTGTTGAGAGGTTTTTGATTACTGAGTCAGTATCCTTACTAGTCATACAGGTGTGTTCAGATTTTCTACTTCTTCATGACTCAGTCTTGGTAGGTTTTGTATTTCTAAGAATTTATTTCTTCTAGGTTATCTAATTTGTTGGTGTCTAATTGTTCATAGTAAGTAGTCTCTTATGAATCTTTATATTTCTGTGGTGTCAGTTGTAGTACTGCATCTTTCACTTTTTTTTTAAAGATTTTTTTATTTGTCAGAGAGAGAGAGAGAGAGGGAGAGCACAAGCAGGGGGAGCAGCAGGCAGAGGAAGAAGCAGGCTCCCCGCTGAGCAAGGAGCCTGACATGGGACTCGATCCCAGGACCCTGGGATCATGACCCGAGCCGAAGGCAGGCAATTAATGCCCTGAGCCACCCAGGCGTCCCTGCATCTTTCACTTCTGATTTGAGTTTTCTCTCCTGTTTTTCTTAGTCTAGTTAAAGATTTCTCAATTTTGTTGATCTTTTCTAAAAAACTCCTTTTTTCATTTTTTTCCTGTTGTTTATCCGCTGTTTTGTTTACATCTGCTGTTTTAGTCTTTATTATTTCCTTCCTTCTGCTAACTTTGGACTTGTTTGTTCTTTCTCTGGTTCCTTGAGGTGTAAAATTAGGGTTCATTTTTGAGATTTTTCCTTTTTTTTTTTAGAATTGGATTTTGTTTTATTTATGAGATTTATTTATTTTTAATTGAGAGTGGGGCTGGGGGAAGGAGCAGGGGGGTTAGAGAGAATCTCAAGCAGACTCTGTGCTGAGCATGGAGCTCAGTGCTGGGCTTGATTTCATGACCCTGAGATCATAACCTAAACTGAAACCAAGAGTTGGATGCTTAACTGACTGTGCCACCCAGGTGCCCCCAAGATATTTTTTCTTTTTTAATGTAGTATTTACCACTATAAACTTCCCTGTTAGTACTGCTTTTGCTGCATCGCATAAGTTTTGATGTGTTATGTTTTTGTTTGTCTCCAGGTTTCTAATTTCCCTTTTGATTTCTTCTTTGATCCACTGATCCACACTTAAGGGTGTGTGTTGTTTAATTTTCACGCATTTGTGAATTTTTCAGTTCTGCTTGTGTTATCGATTGCTAGTTTCATTCCATTGTTGGCAGAAAAGGTAGTCGGTATGATTTCAGTCTTCGTAAATTTGTTAAGACTTATTTTGTGACCTAAAATGTGGTATGTCCTGGAGAATGTTGCATGTGCAGTTAAGAAGAATGTGTATTCTGCTGCTGTTGGGTGGAATGTTCTGTATATGTCTGTCAAGTTGATTTGGTGTAATGTTACTCAAGTTGCCTGTTTCCTTATTGATATTCTATCTAGATATTTTATCCTTTTTGATACTGGGGTATTGAAATCTCTATTATTATTGTGTTGCTATCTGTTTCACTCTTCAGTTCCATCAGTATTTGTTTCAAATATTTGGGTGTTCTCATGTTGGGTGTATATATTATTCTTACATCTTCCTGATGAATTGACCCTTTTATCATTATATAATGTCCTTTTTTTTGCCTCTTGTCAGTTTTTGACTTAAGGTTTATTTTGTTGGATAGAAGCATGGCCACTCCTGCTCTCTTTTGGTTACATTTGCATAGAATATCTTTTTACTTTTACTTTCATCCTCTGTATGTCTTTAAATCTAGAGTTGACTCTGTTGTGGACAGTAAATAGTTGGATCTTACTTTTTCTGATCCATTTAGCTACTCTTTTGATTGCTGACTTTAGTCCTTTTATATTTAAAGTAATTACTGATAGGGAAGACTTACTGTGTCCATTTTGTTATTTGTTTTTGACTGTCTTGTAGTTTTTTGTCACTTTGTTCCTCCTATTGTCTTTGTTTTTCTTGTTTTTGTTGTTGGGTTTTGTGTGTGTGTGTGTGTGTGTGTGACATGCTTTGATTCCTTTCTCATTTCCTTTTGTGTATCCTCTATAGGTATTTTCTTTGTGCTTAACCATAGGTCTTACATAAAACATCTTAGAGTTTTGACAATCTATATTAAACTGATGGCGCTTCAGAACTCTCTTACATATCTCTCCCTTCCACACTTTGTTATTGACATCACAAATTACATCTTTTTATTGTGTATCTTATTAATGTATTTTTGTAGTTATATTTATACCTTTGTGTTTTAACTTCTATACTAGAATCAAGTTAATTGTTTTCATTTATTCTTTAAGTTATTGTGTCTTAGAAACAATTTGTAGAGTTTAACATTTATGTACACTTTGTGACTAAGTTCTAAATTTTATGTTTAAAAATTACTTTAAAACTTTTTCATGATAAACTTTTATATAAGTTAAGTAAATCTAATAAATTTTTTTGTTGTTTAAACAGAATTCTGAGAGTGATGGTCAGCCATATAGAAGAATACATTGAATCTATAGTTTTCTGAAGAATCAGTTCAAAAGATCCAAAAAATACAAAAGGTAATGAAAAGGTATCTTAGAGTGTATTTCCAGCAAAATATATAAATGAATCCATAAACTTATTTTGACATACTAATTTGAGGAATGTTTTATTTTAAAAATTTTCCTGTTGTATTAATTTATTCCAAATACTTGATGCTACTTTAGGTACTGAGAATACAGTGATGAACAAGACAGAAGTTGTCCCTCCTCTCCTTAGGATTGCATTCTAAAGGGAGGGAGGACAAATAATAAACCAATGAAACATTTGTTGTTCAATGCAGAGAATTAAAATGGATAATGTGATAGAGACTGGTGACTGCCTTCATTATTGAAAGAAATATGAAATATTTGAAAGCTTTCATTGAAGAAGAATATTTCAGTTAAGATCTGAATGGCAAGAATGTGCCAGCCCTATGAAGATCTGAGAGAGGAGATTTACAGGCAGTAAACGAAAATGACCATGGAATACTTTAGGAACAGAAAGAAAAAAAGGTGACTGGTGTATAATAGATGAGGGGAAGAGTATATGGAAGTTAGGTTGGAGAAGAAAACTGGGAGAGGAGCAAATTCTGTAAATTTGCAGAATTAAAGAATGCTCTGTAAGAAAGTACTCTGCAAGAGTGCTTTCTCTGTAAGAAAGTCAAGTGTTCTCTTCTGCTGTATAATATTTTAGACACCTGTAAAATCTGTAAAAATATCAAAGGTAGTTGGTTATAAGACTCTGAAGTTGAGAATCTGGTCTAGGGGTGTGGATTTGGGATTTATTGGTATAGAGAGATACTTAGAGGAGTATGTCTGGATGAAATTATCTAGGAAGTGTACATAGATTAAGAAGAATTTAGCCTTAGGACATGCCAGTGTTAATCAGAGGAGAAGGAACAGCCAATGAGATGTGTAAAAAATCAGGAAAGTGTTCTGTCACAGAAGGTAAAAAAAGAAAAGTAATAAAAGCAGAGGTGATCAGTTACATCATATGTTATCAAGAGGTAAAATAGAGAGTAAAAGAACCATTAGATTTGGCAACATGAATGTCTTTTATAACTGTAATAAGAGTGAACAATCTCAGTGGGAATGTGTGAGGGTGAAAGCCTGATTAAAATTGATGAAGAGAAAAATGGGGAATTTCCAGTTAAAGATGGCAAAAAATACAATTAAGTTCTGTTTCTTCTTGAAACTCCATTAAAGCTAAAGTAGAAGGATTTTTTTTTTTAACAAAAGACATAACTTCACAAGAACAAAGAGAAGAGAAGAAACAATTACAACAAAATTTTGGAAGCTGAAAAGCAAAAGGAAGTGTGATATCTATCTTATGGATCTTAGAATCCTGAGCCAGCTGTGAGAATGATGAGAAACAAACTTTTATGGCGCTATAGAACCTCTAAAATGTCAGGAATTGAGAGCATGCTTTACTTCTGCAAAGGAGTAAGAGTGGGACTAAACACAGGCCGATTTGTTGCCAGTCTAAGAGGTGATTATATTTCATAGATCCTTTTCTTGACCTTGGAATTCCAGGCAACTACCTCTTCTCTATCTTAGCAGAAGGCTAAAGATTTATTCTCTACTAAGGATAAAATAGAGATGCACCAAACGTGGTTGAGAATGGGAGTACCATATTGAAAATAGGGGGATTAAGAACCTAGGCTACCATTTTTTTATAATTTTTAGTCAGTAGTTTAGAAGATTCTTTTCTGGAAATTGTAACCAGCCTGAGAGAAAAGAGCTGAAGATACAGACTTAAAGAATTTCCCCAAAGAAATATTCCAACCTGGTATCCCTGCAATAAAGTTCATAGTCAGCAAGCCCTATCACACAGAGCTTCAGTGATCTTTTTAGACCCCATCCATAAATGAGCTGGTGGCCAGAGATCACTAAACATTTTAGGAAAACCTCTTATGTGAGAGCCAAATACCATGCCAAAGGAAAATGCCAGGTTAGGGGAAATGGTGACCAGGCAGGCAGGTAAAAATTAAAACACAAAACTATTGTTTAATAGTTTCAGAGAGGTAAGAGGAGATGCTAAATCCATGAAACATGAAAGAAAAACAATTAAATTAGAAATGAAGAACTCAGTGGAAGAGTGGAAAAGTAAAACAGATTTTGATCTCAGTTGCTGGTTATAGAGATCATCCAGTCCCGACAGGAATAGGTCAGAAGCTACCAAGATAAATAGCTATGAGATTAAATTGGTAGAATGTGTAATGTGTTTGAAGATATTAAGAGGAAATTTAGACAGGGAAGAGTTTGGGGCTGAATTGGTGATAAGTCTATAGAAAAGTAAGTCAATAATAAAACAATGATTAACTCTAGGGAAAATTATTTAGAAAGGGGAGGCGATTGTAGTATGCTGTATGGCTCAGCTGTGAATTGCATTTAGAGAGTCATTATAATGTTAACTCTGAATATAACCACCTAGCCAAAATTATGATACTGGGAATTTGGGCAAGTATGCATGTATATGAGGTAAGGATGGGGAGTCAAAGAGAACTAAATTCTTATTTTTCTTAGTGCAGTTCAGTAGATTATGCCTGAAATATAAGACTCTTTTGAGAGCAAAAGGAGACATTTTAATAATTACATTGGGACAACTTGAATAAGTTGGGACTGTTTAGGCACCCTACCTAAAATGGAAGGAATCAAGAAGTAACAAAATAAAGGATATTGGAGTGTTAACTGCCAGAAGAAACAGTTCAGGAGGTGAAAGTGGTGGAAAATGGGAAATGGGGATCAGAGGACCGAGGACTTCTGATTTTTTAATAAATCTTGTAAAACTTTGTGGACACTTTAGACTTTAAACATGTATACATTGGTGAAAATAAACACCAAATTTTAAAGGAAGGGAGAGAATGGAATTAAAGATGTTGAAACAGCAACTGTACTCTGCCATGCAGTTTTCCTGTGAGAAGGAGCAGAAAAGGAGAGGTAGTACCTGAAGGGGGTTGGTGGGTCAAGGGTTGTTTTGTTTTTTAAGGTAAAATACTAAGATGTTGATCAGAAAAATCCAGTTATCAAGAGAGGAATTCGTGATGTAAGAATGGAAAGCCTTGAGAGGTGACAGCAGATGGGATTCAGAGGACTAGTATCATGTCATTAGATACTGCACAGTTTATTTTTAATATAGAATGTGTTGTTTTATATATAAGGGTTCTTTTCCAAAGATGGATTTCCAGGCACTGAGATTTTCTGTTAATCATGTTAATGTTGCATACTGAATTAAAAACATATCTGCTTCTGTATTTGGCAAAGTTTGAATGTTTTATAAAGTTTCTTAGTTATTAATATCTCCCCATTTCATAAATATTTTTAAAATATATATTTTAAAGATTTTGTTTATCAGAGAGAGAGCGAGAGAGCACGTGCAGGGGGAGCAGCGGACAGGGGGAGTAGCGGGCTCCCCGGTGAGCAGGGAGCCCCATGCAGGACTCCTGGGATCATGACCTGAGTGAAGGCAGACGCTTAGCCGACTGAGCCACCCAGGGTTCCCTCATACATATTTTTTAAAGCTTGTTTTTAAAATGATATTTATGAAAGGCTTCTGCCATTCTTGTCCTTTACATCATAAAGTAGTAATATCACTGGAAAGCTGGGAAGTCATCACTGAGTGACTTAGAGTTCAAGTTGCTTATGTAAAGGAGCGGTTGATTCCTAGCTGAAACTTGATCCTTGGTAATTTAATTTGTGAACTTTGGATTCTAGTAACTGTAACTGATCCTTTCAAAGACATTATTGTATACCATGCTGGCCTAGTAATGTCAGTATTTAAGAAAGAAGGTTTTTAAAGATTTTATTTATTTATTAGAGAGGGAGGGAGAGAGCATGTGCACAAGCAGGGGGAGGGGCAGAGGGACAAGCGGACTCCGTGCTGAGTGTGGAGCCCTATGTGGGACTCCATCCCACGACCCCGAGATCATGACCTGAGCCCCCAAGAAAAAAGAAATTATTATTTAATTTAATAATAAAATTTGACCTGTATTGGATTATATACTTGAAATTCCATGCTGTGTACAGGGACATCACTTATTTTTTAAAACTGAATCCTTAGAATCCATAGCATGGGAAGTGTGACTCTGGATAGTTTTTTTTGGTACTGAAAATGTGAGGCCTAGGGTAGTTCCAAAACAAGACCTTTTGGCTGTTCCCCCATTACCATTGTGTTTTGAGAAAATTAATTTGGCACCATTTAAGAAGTGAAGAGGAAACTCCTTACAGTTGGCTCTAGAGTACTTAGTTGGGCCTATTTCACTTCTTCCCTTCCCTTTCCCTTAAATATACCCTGTCAGTTGGCTAGAAAGGAGAAAAAAAGATCTTGGACTAGACTGTTAGAGAAACGTATAGTCTTAAGTTGTTCAGTTAGCAGCGCAGTAAATGTTTGGAAAGCATATTGTTAACAACATTAGTAAAATAGCCTAATAAAGCATTGGCCTGTGTCTTCTAAACCATTTTGGGTTGTTAGGATGGCTCTTCCTACAGTCTAAACCCTAATTCTTGGGGTCTTTTTTTTTTTTTTTTCTCTCCTAGTTTGTCCTATGTTCTACCTTTTGATAATTAAAGAAGCATATACTTGGTGTCACATAAGGCTCAGATCTGGCCTTTTTACTTTAAAGTGAAACTTCACTTTGCTGTTACCTTTGCACTGTTCTTTTTGTTCTAGTAACAGAACCAGCCTCTGTTATTACTGTGTTGATAGGTATGTCTCTTAGACCAGAGGGTTGTGCTTAGGTCATCTTTAAAGTCTCTTCTAACTCTCAAATTGTGTAATTCTGTGTTCCATCTGCTGATGTTGACCCAGACACTTAAAACCGGTATCTTAGGGGCGCCTGGGTGGCTCAGCCATTTAAGCGTCCGCCTTCGGCTCAGGTCATGATCCCAGGGTCCTGGGATTGAGCCCCACATTGGGCTCCCTGCTCAAGCGGGAAGCCTGCTTCTCCCTCTCCCACTCCCCCTGCTTGTGTTCCCTCTTGCGCTGTGACTCTCTGTCAAATAAATAATATCTTTAAAAAAAAAAAAGGTATCTTATCTAGTGTTCATTCTTTTTGTTTTTACCTCTGACTCCCCACTCATTTTCTTTTAAGAGCTCTTTGCCCTTTGCAGTCTTACTTCTATAGCCATAACCACATGGGCTCTACAGTATCATTGAGCAAGGACCATTCGCTTGCTCCATCATGCCTGTACATATGAAAACAGTGAATATCTCATGCCTCAAAACTGTTAGGGTTTTTATTAGCATTAAGGTGTTTGTTCAATATTTAATTCGTGACTATAGGATATAAGTATCTTGTGTGAATAAAACCTGCCTTACACTTCAGAAAAACTATAGAATATAGGATGACATTTTAGGCTTATGATTCCGTTTTTAAAGTACTAAGTCTTAATTCCTTCAATGTGGATATGAGACTCCTTATAAAAAAAGCTCTTCCCTCCCTCCTTTTCTTTGCTTTTCTCTTTTCTTTTCAAGTAATCTCTACACCTAGGTGGGGCTTGAACCCACAGCCCCTAGACTGAGTTGCATGCTGTACTGCCTGAGCCAGCCAGGCACATCCCAATAAGGCTCTTTTCTACTTGTCTCGCCTTCACCCTTCTATCCACTCTTACTCTCATTTTATGCTCTAGTAATTAACCTTGTAACACGGCTAGATTTTTCTCTAAAGAAAATGCTAAACCTCTTAAGTTTCTCAAATAGGATGCTCCCTTGTCTCATAAAGGCCTGTGCCTTTGCAAATTGCCATTCTTGTGGCTTCGCATCCTTTCAGATATTACCTTTTCTTGTCCTCTGGTCTATTATTTCTCACACGTAAATGGTCATACAAATCACATGGGGACCTTGTTAAAATGTAGATCCTGATTCAGTAGGACTGTCTTTTTACAAGGCCTCAGATGATGCCAGTGCTGATGGTCTCTGCACCATATTTTTAGTAACAATCTAGACTACCTGACAAACTCATTGTCATCAAGAATATTTCCTTTGACTCCTGTCTATATGCTTTATATCCTCTATTTACTGTATATCCTCTCTTTTATTATTTTTTTTAAAGATTTTATTTATTTATTTATTTGAGAGAGAGAATGAGATAGAGAGCACATGAGAGGGGGGAGGGTCAGAGGGAGAAGCAGACTCCCCGCTGAGCAGGGAGCCCGATGCGGGACTCGATCCCGGGACTCCAGGATCATGACCTGAGCCGAAGGCAGTCGCTAAACCAACTGAGCCACCCAGGTGCCCCTCTTTTATTATTATTATTTAGGTATCTGTCTCCCTATTCAATTGCAGATTTTTGCCTACAGGGACTGTGTTTTTTATCCTTGTATCCCTAAAGCTTAGCTTACTATTTAATAGAAAATAGGCTTTCAACAAATGTTTGTTGTTGATTACATTTTTTAAATTAAAGAATAGTTGACATACAATGTTATATTAGTTTCAGGTATAAACAGTGACTGAGCAATTCTGTACATTACACATGCTCACCATGATAAGTGTAGTTACCATCTGTCATCATACAGTGTTATTACAGTATTATTGACTATATTCCCTGTGCTGTACTTTTTTTTTTTAAGATTTTATTTATTTATTTGACAGAGAGAGACATAGTGAGAGAAGGAACACAAGTAGGGGGAGTGGGAGAGGCAAAAGCAGGATTCCCACTGAGCAGGGAGCCCGAAGCGGGGTTTGATCCCAGGACCCTGGGATCATGACCTGAGCCGAAGGCAGACGCTTAACGACTGAGCCACCCAGACGCCCATGTGCTGTACTTTTTATTCCCATGACTTATTTTATAACTGGCAGTTTGTACACCTTACTTCCCTTCACCTGGCTCACTCATCCTCCCGCTCCCCTCTGGCAACTACCAGTTTATTCTTTGTATTTATGAGTCTGTTTCTGTTTTATTTTGTGTTTTAGATTTCACATATAAATGTAATCGTACGGAATTTGTCTTTGTCTGACTTATTTCATCCAGCATGATACCTTCTAGGTTCATCCATGCTGTCAAGATTGGCAAGATTTCATTCTTTTTTATGGCTGAGTAATATTTCACTGTACACACACACACACACACACACACACACACACACACTCACACCACATCTTCTTTATCCATTCATCTGTATCGATGGGCCCCTAGGTTGTTTCTCTCTCTTGGCTGTTGTAAATACTGATGCATGAACATAGGGGTGTACATATCTTTTTGAATTAGGACCTATTCACAGTTACATACTCTAATTAATATATATACTAAACATTAAGAGTAGCCTTTTTTATTACCTTATAATAGAAAATGAATCCTCAATTTTTTCCCCCGTGTTCCTTTTTTAGAAGGAAGCCTCACATGTGCCCCAGCTATTTGCTTGAAAATAATGTTTCAGCCCTGGGTACAAACCAAAACATTTGAATTCTCTATGATAACCTACAGTGTTCCTCAACATTACTGTGTTTGTAGAAGTAAATTTTTTTAAAACTAATGACTGTTTATTTTTCCTTCCACCCAAGGAGAAGTACAAATGTCTACCACAAGACGGAAACGTTATATGTTATGTTGTTTACCGTAAGCTGTAGTAAAATGAGCTCGATTGTTGACAGGTATGTTTTTAAAGACTCTTTATTTTGAATCCTATAAAGCTATTTTAAAATTTATTATTAGAGTAATGGTCTGTATCAAACTGATAAAAGGAGTTTCATGTTTAAACATAATTCCTATTATGTTCAATTTCCATATTGAGCAAACAGTATAATAGTAATACATACCGATATTATCTATAGCCAAAGTCAGCAGCATATGGTTTGTGTCCTAAACAGATCTTGAACTGTGATTTCGAGTATTTGGTCAGAGCTCCTCTGAAAGAAATTGTGACAGTGGCAAATGTTTCCTTGGCATCTTATGGAATCTTCTATCTCCTTATGTCTTGTTTTTTTCTCCTTAACTATTGGTGCTAACTCCATCCCTTTAAGCATTTTCGCATTTGTGATTGATAAGTGGTAACTATAATTAGGATTTTATTAGTTAAAATTATAGTCTTTAAATCATACTCTTACGAGGAGGATAAACCTTGTTTTTTGATTTTAAGACTTTTTTGTTTGTTTACATTTTAACACCTCTGACACTGAGCTTCATCTTACAATTGCCTTATCGTAGTTTAATTGGTAGCATTTTTTTCCCGTCTTGGTGGCATATAAAATACTCATAAGTCTTTATTAAAGATCAGTGGTGTTTTTAATTTGATGAAATACAGTAACATATTTTAAGCTCTTACTCTTTGACAGCTCTTTTGTTGTCGAGTACTTTTTATATGTTACTTCATTTAACCTCACAATAATGCCATGAGATTTTACAGCTCAGGAAACGATAGGTCAGGGAGGTTGAATAACTTGTTTAAGGTCACATAATTAAGTGCTGAGCTGGAATTATGACCTGTGTTGGTCTGTCTGACACTAAAGTTCCTGTATTTTTATTGTAGTGTACTGTGTGATTCTTCCATAGGGGATTCTTTGAGAGTTTTGTAGCTAGAGTTGTATACAGAAGTGACCTTTGATGTCTGGGGCCAGCCTATCTCCCTTTCCTGTGAGTTAAACAGTGAAGATCTATACTCTACCAGAACTTAAGACCTAAGGGGCAAAGAGTTTCCTTAGAGAGGTCTGCCTGCAGCACTGCCATAAATTGGGGCTATGCCATATTTTCAGGTGGGCTCTATGTATAGTTGTCTCCTCAGAAAGAGTGTTCCTTCAGTGCTCCTAAGAGATTAAATATGATTGTGGTATTATGCTTCTCGATGATTGCCAATTCCCATTCTAGACAATATGATATCTAGAGATAACATCCATGTTCAGACAGAAGCAGTGACTTTTAATATGAGTTCATAATCTCTGGGAATATCATGTAAATTATGGACTCTCTCTTCAATAACATGCATATACATACAAAAGTTTTCATAAATTGCAAAGCACACATGGAACCCTGAAAGTCCAGACATGGAGCTCTATGATACAAGATTTTCAGATGTTCTCAGCAGTGGATCCAGCAGGCACTATATATGCCTTCATATGCCACAGAAAGGTGTGGTTAAAGTAGTGAATAGTGAATTCATGAATTCATATGAAATTATTTAATATTGCTACTTAGGTTAAGGAGTTAGCTACCAGTGCTCTTGATTTCACTTGTTAGAATGCTATTCCCCCAGATCTTCCCATAACCAACCCCTCTTGTCACTTAGATCTCAGTTTAAATGTCCTCACCTCAGCAGGTCCTTCCCTAACCACTCGGTTTAAAATAACATCACAGTAACTAAAAAATCACCCTTTTTTTAAAAAATATAAAACTTTCCATCATGTATTCCCTTCTTGATTTGTTGTGTTCTACTAGAAAATAAGCTGTAGGAGAGCAGGGATTTCTGTGTCTGATTAACTGCTTTAATGCTCTGTAATCTTGTCCAGAACAGAGCCTGGCACATGAGTATTAATAAATACTTGTCAAATTAATCAGTAATGAATGAAATGTGTTAATATAAGTTAAATGCTAGATACTGTGCTGTTTATGAATGATTTCTGGTTTTATAACATGAATGTCTCAAAATAAATTTTTAAGCTATGCTCTTATATGGCAAATACACTGACTTTCTGTAGTTTTCATTGATTACTAACAGTTTGAAACAAGGTATTAACCTCTGATTAAATTAAATTCTGGTTTAGCATGTCATATATAGTACATAAGTAGTTTTAAAATTCACATTTGTGATAAACTTTTAAAAAATGTAATTAAACATGGATAAACTTTAATTTTCTACTTGTTAGAAAATAGGTTAGCAGTTAATTGAGTTTGAATTTGTACAGTCCTTTAACTCTACAAAAATCCTAAGATATAACTGATTTGATTCACATGTCATTTTGGAATTGCTGTTGCTTAATGAGTTTGCTCTTATTTTCTCTATCCACTTTCTTTTTTCTTTTAGAGAAGATGGTAGTATTTTTGATGGGTTGGTGGAAGAAGATGACAAGGACAAAGCAAAAAGGTAGTTCAACTTAAGATGTAAAATAGTAAATAAATGAATAAATAAGTAAATGTAAAAGTAAGTAAATTGTAAATTAGTGATTTCCAAAAGCTGTCTGTCTTAAGAACTTAGATATATTAGCAAGGTGGAAAAGCTTAGATTATCAGTATGCAGTTTATAATTTAAATAAAAGTATCCTGTAAAAGTGCTCATCTCATCACATTTTATGAGTATATAATATCTATAAGACATCACTAAGGGTGTTAACTTTCATCACTCGGCTAAGGTAGGGTTTGCCAGATTCACCATTATAGTTACTCTTTTCCGCTTGACTTACTGCGTTCTTTGGTAGCAAGTTATTAAGTGTAGCCCACCTTCAGAGTAGGAATGGAGGGAATTAAGCTCCACCTCCCATAGAAGGGGGTATCTACACACATTTGGAATATTTCTGTAAAAACATTGTTTCCCATTTTTTTATGTCTGTATGGACTTCGTGTGTTTATACTCTAGGTTATATACTCCACTGCTCTCTTATTTTGTTGCTCAAATTGTTTCAGCTTTGGCGATTGGGAGTTCTTTCAGGCTAGGCCCCTATGACCTCCACATGCCTCCATTCTCCCATAGAAGGGAAAGTAGACAGTGGGGAAAGGGAGGGAAGACTTGTTGGAGAGGTATCCTTAATTAGGTGAGGGAATGGGATCTAGAGTCATGGTGGTACTGATGGGGGCTTCTACCTTAAATAGGAGTGTTGGCAGTTAGAGTGTCAGGATGGGGAGGGTCCAGGTAGCATTATAGCAAAGTTTATAGTCCCTCAGAGTGAGTAGTAAACACTTTCTGGGTTTTTTTTTTTTCCAGCTGTGTTGAACTGTGTGGGTGCTTAGACAAGGGTGGAGGTTGTTGTATTATACACAGATAACAAATATAAACATGTAATAAGTAATAGTTCTTATATGTCTGTATTTAGCAAAAAAATGGGGGGGACTGGGATATGAAAAATATAATAACCAGGTAAGTTGCTGAATACTTTAATGAATGATTAAAATATATCTAAGAAGATTTTGAGGAAAACTATACAATGTATTCAAGGAAATAAAAAGACCTGGATTTGAAGCTAAAAATATATAGGACAACCCCTTATCCCTTAACCTCAATCTGGTGAAGGAAAGTTCTTCAGTCTGGCCTGAATGAAGAGGTAGAACTGTAAGGAATTGACTTGGACAGTCTTAAAGGCCAAATTTATAGATGGATAAGGTAAGCTAAGTGTATTCTATTTTTGAAGACTCTGAAAGTTTGATAATGTTTTTAGGGAACCAGAAATACTGTGGCTCTGGAAGACACTGGAGAAAAAGAAAGAACCTCACTATACTGTCAGAATTAAGGAGGACCACAGTGAGCTCTGACTAAAACAATGATGAGTTCAAGTACCTTAGTGTTGAATCAAGAACAAAGGGGGTTTTATACCCATCCTCAAAATGAAACATCTGTGGCCTGTTCTCAGTGAAGTCATCACAAGGGCTGAGAAGTTCCAGCCTAAATCTAATATGAAGTGAAGTTGGCTTTAGTGGTTGTGATCCAGTGATAGAGTTGGCAATATGTGATTTCTATATGTTTTCTTGCCCTGGAATAACAATGGCTGATTTGAATTATTACTTCATGGTAGCTGTTTGGCACTGGGCATGTTCTCGTTTGTGCCTGAGTTGTCACCTGTAAAGTGAAAATTGGTAAGAAAGTCTACCTCATAGGAATAAATGAGATTTCGTAAGTGCTTGTAGTAGTGCCTAGCACATCAGTAGTATGCAGTGAGTATTGACTTTTATTTTTATCCCAATTCATGTGTTCAGATACTTCATACATGCTAATTCTCAAATGCTTATTTCTTACTCTTTTATAGAGGAATATAACTAGATCTGTATATCTAAGCCTCTTGTGTATATCTTTTAAAATGTGAAACAGGCAATTTCATTGTAACTAAATTCTCTCCAAACCATCTGTCCACCAAAACCAGTATCACATGTTTTTATTTCACATTAATAAACAGCATTATCAGTAACTTGGGAATCCTCTTAGGTTTCTCTTTTGCTTTCCACTGCAAACCAGGTCTGATTTACCTAAAATGGATAGTTCTGCCTCTTAACCCTCAAACCCACACTACTCTGTTAACACTACCACTGCCATGGTTTATAGGCTAGGATGTTGCACTGGCCTCCTAAATGGTCATGTGTGTCCAGGCTTGTTTGCCATACAGTAAGTTTTCAAGAGTATTTGCTAAATGAATTTGTTTCACCAAGCATTGATCCTTTCATTGCTCTGATGCCAGAATGGTCTTATTAACAAGCAGTTCTGTTCCCATCATTTTTTTGCATTAAAACATTTCAGTGCCTTCCCATGGCTTTCAGGATTAAATTAAAATCCTTTTATGTAACATAAAAACTTCATGATTTTTTCCAGCATTTATGTCTCCCCCCCCCTCCCCCCCCAGCTCTAGCATACTGGGGCAGAGAAAGCCTATTCATTGGCCATGTTAACGAGATTGAACTACTTGTGATAGGTTTTCATTCCTGTACAAGTTTCCTGTACCTGGGGTGCCTTGCATACACTCCACCACCGCCCTTTTCTCACTCAGCCTTCAGTGTATGAGGATGCCATCTCCGCTTCCTCTGAATTTCCATAGGATTTGGATAAATTTCTTGAAAGAACTTGTCTTTTCCCAGTATCCCTAGCCTTTATTAGCATAGTCTCTGTTATTATAGCAAGCACTCACTGTTTGATGAAGGAGTGATTTTAGTATCTATTACGTTTCTTAAGAGGTTTGAACCATTGTATTTTTTCCTAGTACTAATATAGAATAAATGCTTCTTTGTTACCGAAAAACAAAAAATAAAATTATCCTCTGACCTTTTGGGAAATGAGTATACATTGCTTAAACAAAAACTGAATTAGAAAATCCAACTTCACAAAGTGGACAATTAGAGGTATTATAGAATGATTAATTACTATATAAATAATTGTATTTACTGTCTGAAGGTCTTGGTGCCACTTGATATTTGTTTACTGGTTAAGCTGCTTCACATACAACAGTATTCGTTATTCATTTGGCATGCATATTTTGAGTGCTTATTGTTTGTTAGTTGTTACCCTTAAGTGCTTAGATGAAAAAATTGGGGCTCTGTTATCAAGGTGTACACAGCCTAATGGAGAGAGAGAGATATGCAAACAAATGGTTATAGCTCTGTGGTAGAGCCTGGCATACAGGAATAAAGAGGAAGACTATATGGATAAGCCTGAGGGTAGAGAGATTTTCATTTTTAGATTTGTTTGTAATTTAAAACTTACAGGAGATGGATAACTTTCTCCTAACTAGTAATTTTGAATAATTTGTATTTACACATTATATGCAGTTCCACAAATGTATCTCAGTAATATTCATAATAACCTAATAAGGAAAATACATATTCCTGGTAAATATTAGATTAAATAAAACCTGAGATTTGAATGAGGTTTGTCTTACTGGCATTTTCCTAAGAACATGTTTGCCAAATGCTTAATACGTAAGTTCTTCAGTGATAAGCTGAGAAGAAAATTAACTGTACATTGTTGGTAACCCGTGGATAAATACTTATTACCACCTGTATTGATGGAAGTACATGGTGTGTAGTTGTATCCAAAGTGAGCATTGTATTAAACTATGTGTATAATCAAATGGATTGTTTGAAAGCTGCTTAATTTTTTTTTTCCATCAGAGTATCTAGAAACAAATCTGAAAAGAAACGTAGAGATCAATTTAATGTTCTCATTAAAGAACTGGGATCCATGCTTCCTGGTAATGCTAGGAAGATGGACAAATCTACTGTTCTGCAGAAGAGCATTGATTTTTTACGAAAACATAAAGGTAAAATTTTAACTTTATCAGACGGATTTTTTAAAATAACAGTCTCCCTTAAAGCATAATGTGATAGAATCTTGACAGTGATTCTTAAAATTGGATGCTTCCTCACCTTTTTTTGAGAAAAAGAAATCAGTTGTCTTTTTAAAGGTTTCCTGATATGTTCTTTATTTCATTCAACAAACATTTATTTAGTGCCTACTAAATCCTATATTCTTGTGGTGCAGAGTAGCAGTCCTGGCCCTCCGTTAACTCAAGCGAAGGAAGACAAACATGTAAACAGCTAATTTACAATGCAGATACTTAAAACATGAGTAGTGTTTGTAAACCATAAACTTGCTATGAGAACACAGAGGAAAAAAAGTGTGTCAGGAAAGCTTTAAAAATAGTTGATTTTTTAGCTGAGTCTTCCTTTTAGATTAAGTAAGAACAGCATTTCACCTGGAGGAAGTAGGAAATAGTGTGTGCAAAAGCAGAAAAGCAGGGAGGGTTCAGTGTAATTGGAGCATAGTTGAGTTGGAAAATTATGGGTATATTTCAAAGAAAGGCAAGAACCACATCATGAGGGCCTTGTATGCCATTTTAAAAGATGATTTCAGTGTATGTCTAGGAAATAAACACTGTTTATAAAATAAAGTGATTATTAATTGAAGAAAATCATTTTGACTAAATGAGTCATGAATAATTTAAAGAACGTTGAGTATTTTGCTAACAGAGATAATAGATGGAAAACGTGTAGAAGGACCTTTCCTTTTCCAGATGCAAATGAAACCGCAAAACTTCTCCGAAGGAGAATTTGTAACTAGTACTTTTATTCACTCCTCCAGGGCTTACGGAGTCATGCATTACCAGGCTGGTTAATGCTCCACCACCTCTTTGAAATTATTTTTGTTAATTTCACAAATGCCAGCAGCCCCACCCATTCTGCTGCCAATCAAACAATAGCAATAGCTTTTTCTTATACCTAATGCACTGGAAGTTTTTTTAAAAGGATTTATTTATTTATTACAGAGAGAGTGTGTGAGTGGGGGGGAGGCACAGAGGGAGAGAGAGAATCCCAAGCAAGCTCCATGCTTAGCATGGAGCCAGATTCGGGTCTCGATCCTAGGATCCTGAGATCATGACCTGAGCTGAAATCAGGAGTCCAATGCTTAACCCATTGAGCCACCCAGGTGCCCCTGCACTGGAAATTTTAATCCATCCGCCACTGGCTTTTTTCCCCCCGTGGCCTGTGTTATACTGCACTTCTTCATTCACCTCCCATTCCTAACTGAAACTCTTTTTCTCCCCCCAGATCTCTTTTGTGCTCTTGCTTTCTCTAGACTCTTTTCTTTGGTTATCTCATTCCATAGCGTCAAGTATTGCCTCTCTATTAAACTACCATATCTGTATTTTTAGATGCAAACTTATCAGTCTTTTGTTTCCAGATAACTTCTAGATCTTTCTTTTGCATGTGCTCAAACTCTGTACATCTGAAACTGAATTCATTTTCATTTCATCAAGTCACCTCTTTCTCTCAACTTCCTTTTTACATTTTTACAACACTACCCTTTCAGGCCCTAGGACTCAAGCTGAAAAGACTTTCAGATTTTTTTCACCTTCCTTAGTACTGTATCACAGTTGCCAAATTCTGTTGATTCTTCTGTAAATGTGTCAAAATCGCTTGTCTTCATTTTTATTGTCACCATTATCATTATATTTTACCTCCGCAAATAGTATTCTCACTAACCTTAGTGTCCCTTGTTAGCACACTCAATCCCCTCAGACATTGCAGTTCAATAAATGATTGCTGAATGAAATGAAATCATATGAATGCATTTACCCCTGATAATAGAGGATTAATTCTGGCATTTAAGTAGGTCAGTTTTTTTTTTTTTTTCTTCAAAATTGGGTATATAATTCTCACAAAAGAAAAATTTACCTTAAATTGAAAGGGAGTTCTTAAATACTTTTATTAGTACTCTAAGCCTGTGTAACTAAACTTGATGGATTTGCTTGTGGATTTAAATTCTTTTTCTCAGTGTGTATAATTGGTGTGAATTTGAAAAGCATGACTATATTCCACAGAATTAGTAGCTAGACTTCTTACTCATCATATTGTAGTACAGGCATTTCCAATATGCCAAATGTTGGGTGACAATTTAATATCCTGTGTTTACATATCTGGTAATACAAAATCAAAACAGCTTATTAGTCCCTACTTTTCACTGCAAAGTAGAATATATTTTGTAAAGTAAAATCTATGTTATAGATTTCTATTTTGCCTGGTTGAATATGTCTGCATTTAAAAATGGAAAAAATATTTATTACCTAAGTAGTTCAGGTTTCATCATTTATAAATAGCTTTCTCATAACTAAATCCATTAGAAAAATGTTGCAAAATAAACTAATAATTTTGTTAAAATGTGTGCTCCAAGCCAGGGATTTCCAGATTTTTGACCAGTTCCCTACCACTAAGAAAACATTCAAGAGGACACTAAGCAAAACCACTCTGGGATTATTACTTTAAAGTTTTTCCCCAAATTTTAGTCTCCTTGATTAGTTCAGAATAGAGCACCTCAGATTGGAAGGAATCTTTCTGCCTGGTAATAGGCAAGCCTAAAGTCATCTTAGTTAAAAGCAGACTGACTGACTGACCTCCTTGGCTCCTTTCCTTCAGAGTCATGTCCTTACGACTGCTCTAGCTACATTCCACCATTTGAATGTCAAGAGAAGGATAAGAAGAAAGAATTTCTTTCTAATGCTTGATACTAATATGCTTGTTCTGGTTCTTATTTGGTTATTATGTCAAGCAGGAAGCATTCTCAGGCCTTCAGCAATACAGGCTGTCAAAGCTCCCCAAAGAAAAACCAGAGACTAGTTATTTCCAAGAGACCAAATCCAAGGAAATAACTTGCCACATTAGTCCATGTATTTCATCATACCCAAGCCCGGGCCTCCTGATACCTACCTAAACCAATGAATGTTACTGCCTGTGGTTCTCATCTTAAATAGGGAGGAGAGAAAGCAACTTGTTGGACTTTGGTACCACCCCTTACCCCTACCCTGTGTTTGGAGTATGCCACTAATGTGTCAAATAATCTTTACAGAAATCACTGCACAGTCAGATGCCAGTGAAATTCGACAGGACTGGAAACCTACATTCCTTAGTAATGAAGAATTTACACAATTAATGTTAGAGGTATGTCTCGATTTAATTTTTGAAAAGTTTTATTTTCCTTGAAAAAGATATTGTTGAGGTGACGAATTTTAGTATGGTTTTAACAATATTAATTTAATATTGAAGTCTTGATTCATTGTAAATCAAACTATTTTCAATTAAAATTATTATAAGTAAATAGTACTATGTGGTAAGGTAATGTTAAATTTTCATATTTTTTAATATTATATGATTTTTGAGAGGCTTAATAAAAGTCAGAAACCTATAGCTATCAAGTTCTTTACCTGAGGCCACTAACAACATTCAAATGAAGAATAATGTATTTTATTCATCACATGTTAAATATTATTTATGAGGGGCACCTGGCTGGCTTAGTCAGTAAAGCATGCGACTCTTGATCTCAGGGTCATGAGTTTGAGCCCCATGTTGGGTGTAGAGATTACTTAAAAATAAATGTTTAAAGATTTTTATTTATTTATTTATTTGACAGAGAGAGAGAGAGAGAGAGACAGCAAGAGAGGGAACACAAGCAGGGGGGAATGGGAGAGGGAGAGAAGCAGGCTTCCTGCTGAGCAGGGAGCCCAATGTGGGGCTCGAACCCAGGACCCTGGGATCATGACCTGAGCCGAAGGCAGATTGAGCCACCCAGGTGCTCCCCAAGGATCTTTTTTAACAAATTGAAATTCACCTAAATACAAATATAAAATGATAATAAATGAAGTATTTTGAAAATACTAAAACATTGAAGTATACCTTGAAAGGCAGCCCTTCTTAATTCAAGTAGAAACTTTTAAAAGGAAATAAGTAAATGTTCTGTAACAAAATTATTTTTGGAAACAATTCAGAATATACTTGCTTATAATTGAAAACCCTTAATACCTCATACAGTCAATTATAAAATTCACAAAAATTTTGAGTCACTCATATCTATCAATTTTACTTTTCTACTTTTTAATCGTTTCCTTTGTAGAATAATATAGGTATCATCTTTGTACACAAAGTACACAGCTCAGTATCAAATTTCCAGGAAAACTTAGGACACAGAGGTGGTATACTTTGGCAGTAACAGTTAAGGATAAGAAAAATAAACACTTAACAAAGTAGACAGAGCTGAGGAAAGCGGTCGAGGTAGGGATGTTAGAGGTTGTTAAATAATTTACATCTTTTACCCTGTTTGTTTGGATATATTATTTTAGACTGTAAGCATTTATCTGTGTCATGTATGTATGTGTGATGACCATATAGCAGGTGTCTTTGTATATCAACTAAAGTCTAAAGCAACATAAAGTATTTTGCAAATTAACGAGTTATTTTTCTGTTGATACTTTAGATGGAACAGTGAATTGCTGGATTGCCTAAGTACATATTCAGCAGAAATGTTACCATATGAAAATTTGTTGGACTATATATATTTATAGCTGTGCTTAAAATCTGAAAAATAACTGAGCGCTTTTCACATATTAACTCAATGAATGCACACAATAATCTTATGAAGTAAAGTGTGTTAGTATCCCTTTCTTACTTTCCTTGGTTGAGGAAATCGAGGAACAAAGGGATTATGTTACCCAAAGTAACAGGGTGTAAGTAGTTCAGCTAGGATTCCCTGCAGCCTCTGATTTCCATGGCCTGCGCCTCTGCACACTGCCACTTGTGAAACTAGTGAAAGCTAGCCAGAGTACAGACCTTTTAGCTTAAAAACCAGCAGTTAGCTCTTTAAATTAGTGGACGCTTTAGTTATAAACTAAATAGTAGTTTCTGATTTTAAGGTTTTTTCATCTAAAATGTAAGTGTTCTTCTGTAACAAAATTATTTTATTACTTCTAAAGTTCATAAAAGAGTGGTCTATAATAGCCTTCTGATCATCTACTCATCACTAAACTCATTGATGTTGTCCAAAATTATCTTGTTAGATATAAGTAATGTATTTATGAGAGTACACACAAACTAATGTCTAAATGGAGAAAGGAAATAGCTCATTTAATCACTCCTTAATTTTTATTTTATGATTATAATCTCAGTGCAGTGGTTTAATAAGATCTTCTATGTTAATCATAAACTACCCGCTCTGCTTTATTGGTATGAAAAATTTCTTATAAATTCACAAATTTGTATAATATCTTCACTTATTTCTTAATACCTTAATGAAGGTAAATTCACTAATAGGCTAAGCAGAGGAGCATTGTGTCCAAATTTTTTTTTTTTTTATTATTTGTCAAGACACAGGTACATATGTAGATAACTATAAAAAATAAATAAATCTAGGGATTAGAACATTGTAATATACAAGAGAAAACTTGAACATATTAAAAATTTTGGAGATATGAATTGTCTTATTATTATCCTTACAGCTTTTAAGATTACATTCCTAAAAAGTGTTACATTTATTTATTTATTAATATGTTAAGGAAATTTTTGCATTTTAATGAATATTAACAACTATTATATATTCTACATATATTAACTACATATACAATATATCTACTACTATATATTAGCTACTATATATCATATATTCTAACATTAATATGCCAAGATATGTACAAGATACAAGGAGGATATGTATAAATGTGTGTATATATTACAACCTTGATCCAACTAACCTAGTTGTGTTACTGTTGGCCACTTGTGTTGATCAGATTACAGATAGGCAGTCCTGATACCATTTTCAGCAGAATTTTAAATATAGGCTCTACCTTGGAATATTAGAGCTGCTAGTAGAAGGTATTAAATCATTCAGCTCATTTTATGGATGAGGCCCAGAGAAGTTGCAGCTTGTCCAAGGTCAGGTAGCTAATTAATGAAAGAACTGGGAAACTTATGTGTTGGCTCTTTCTCACCTTTCTTCCACTGCCACCTGTCTGGATCCCTTTTATGTTCGTTGCCTGAGGAATATTCCTTTTTGTCCTTGGGAGAGAAGGGGGTAGCTTGAGAATAGTCAAGGAAATCAGGACGATTTATCCTCATCAGATCTTTCTATAAAGTTTTATCTGTGTGAAGTAATTTCCTAGTGTGTAGCTCATTCCCCTTGGCAGCTGGCCACTCTCTCCAGTAATTTAGAAGGGAAGGGCTAGTGCCCTGTCAGCCTTATCTTAGATACAGATCCATAAAGAGGTACTGTCCCTTTCTCTAGAACTTCAAGTTTGTATTTTAATTCCAGTTAGTTAACATACAGTGTTACATTAGTTTCAGGTATACAATATAGTGATTCAGGAATTCCGTACATCATCTGTTACTCATCACAAGTGTACTCCTTAGTCGCCGTCACCTGTTTAACCCATGCCCCTACCCACCTCTCCTCTGGTAACCATCAGTTTGTTCTCAAGAGTCTGTTTCTTGGTCTGTTTCATTTTTTCTCCTTTGCTCATTTGTTTTGTTTCTTAAATACCACATGTCAGTGAAATCATATGGTATTTGACTTATTTCACTTAGCATTATACTCTGTAGCTCCATCCATGTTGTTGCAAATGGCAAGATTTCATTCTTTTTTATGGCTGAGTAATACTTCATTGTGTATTTCTGTGTGTGTGTGTGTGTGTGTGTGTGTGTGTGACAATAGTTTATTTTTGCTTTTGTTTCTCTTGCCTCAGGGGACCTATCTAGAAAAAGTTGCTATTGCTTATGTCAGAGAAGTTGCTACCTGTGCTCTCTTAGGATTTTTATGGTTTCAAGTCTCATATTTAGGTCTTTAATCCATTTCAAATTTATTTTTGGGTATGGTGTAAGAAAGTGGTCTGGTTTCGTTCTTTTGCATGTTGTTGTCCAGTTTTTCCAACAGCATTTGTTGAAGAGACTGTTTCCCATTGGATATTCTAGGTTTATTCCCAGCTATCTTATGGTCTTTGGTGCAGTTGTAAATGGGATTGACTCCTTAAATCTCTTTCTTCATTCTCGTTGGTGTATAGAGATGCAACTGATTTCTGTGCATTGATTTTCTATCCTGCCACTTTACTGAATTCCTGTATGAGTTCTGGCAATTTGGGGGTGGAGTCTTTTGGGTTTTCCACAGAGTATCATGTCGTCTGTGAAGAGCGAGAGTTTGACTTCTTTGCCAATTACAGATGCCTTTTATTTCTGAATAAAAGGCATTGTTGTTGTCTGATTGCTGAGGCTAGGATTTCTAGTACTATGTTGAACAACAGTGGCGAGAGTGGACATCCCTGCCGTGTTCCTGACCTTAAGGGAAAAGCTCTCAGTTTTCCCCATTGAGAATGATATTCACTGTGGGCTTTTCGCATACGGCTTTTATGATGTTGAAGTATGTTGCCTCTATCCCTACACCGTGAAGAGTTTTAATCAAGAAAGGATGCAGTACTTCGTCCATTGCTTTTTCTGCATCTGTTGAGAGGATCATATGGTTCTTGTCCTTTCTTTTATTAATGTGGTGTATCACATTGATTTGCGGATGTTGAACCAACCTTGCAGCTCAGGAATAAATCCCACTTGGTTGTGGTGAATAATCCTTTTAATGTACTGTTGGATCCTATTGCCTAGTATGTTGGTGAGATTTTTGGCACCATGTTCATCAGGGATATTGGTCTGTAATTCTCCTTTTTGGTGGGGTCTTTGTCTGGTTTTGGGATCAAGGTAATGCTGGCCTTAGAGTTTGGAAGTTTTCCTTCCATTTTGATTTTTTGAAACATCTTTAGAAGAATAGGTGTTAATTCTTCTTTAAATGTTTGGTAGAGTTCCTCTGGGAGGCCATCTGGCCCTGGACTCTCATTTGTTGGGAAATTTTTGATTACTGCTTCAATTTCCTTGCTGGTTATGGGTCCGTTCAGGTTTTCTATTTCTTTCTGTTTCAGTTTTGGTAGTTTATGCATCTCTGGGAATGCATCCATTTCTTCCAGATTGTCTAATTTGTTGGCATATAGTTGCTCATGATATGTTCTTATAATTGTTTGTATTTCTTCGGTGTTCATTGTAATCTCTTCTCTTTCATTCATGGTTTCTTTGGGTCCTTTCTCTTTTCTTTTGGATAAGTCTGGCCAGGGCTTTATCAATCTTATTAATTCTTTCACAGA